AAGAGATCATAAACTGACTGCTTCACCCAGAAAAAAAAAAATAGTAATGTCATGTCACATGGGGCTCTGATTGATGTTTGTTTTATTTATTTTTCTTATTTAACTGGTCTGAGATGAGGATCTGATGATGAGGTTGGTTGTTTGTTGTTTTTGTTATTTTTACTCACCCTTTGAATGGACAAGCACACATCAATTCTCTTTCCATCTTAGTCTATGTTGTTGATGTAGCAAGGMGAAATCCTGACCAGGACTACTTGTTGAAATGTCCTAAATAATGAGGTTTGAGTGTCAGTTCCTCAGTGTTAGGAACATATCAATAGAAAAAGCAGACCTCTAGGTGTGATTGTAGTTTGTTTTACACAGAACGTTTAAACTACTACGACTAGTACTAGTTAATTTGTTTGTCTTTCTGAAGTAATACACTATGATAACATGTAAATTGTGTACATTACTTGTTAAATGGAGGCTTTTGAATTTGATTGTTTCAACCTGGACATAGTACAAGGGTTGCAGCTTTTGAACATGCTTTATTGTGTCTGGCTTTTACTTTTCAGGCTCCCCTTTGGACTTCTTGATGTTTGAATCAACCAAAGGAGGTGCACGAATGAGATCAAGTAAAACACCCCTCTCTGCAGGTCTCAAGCAGTGGTATTCATCCCTGCTTCTTAAGGGCCCCAATCCTGCAAGTTTAGATGCTTTTCTGCTTCAACACACCTGATTGGAATGAATGGTTGGCTTTTGTAGGACATGCTGAAGAGGTAATTCAACCACTGAATCAGGTGTGGATTGGAGTAGGGAAACTATTAAAACATGCTGGGTATTGGGCTTCTACGGGCCAGACGTGGATACCACTGATCCTAAGTGAATACAGAACTTTTTATTTTAGATTTTTCTATTACAGCTAGGGCTGTTGTGATTAGCAATAAATCAATAATCRCACAATAAATTTTAAATGAGGTTGATAATTCATTTGCCTGCTTATTTGTTTTATTTGTGTCTTCATCTTTTCTACTTCTGAACGTAGGGAGGAGTGAACTCTGGTGTCAGGGATTTGCCAGGTGCATGGTCTGGTAACCTCTGCCCCATGAACAGGCATTTAGACAGAGGAGCATTTTCAGTTTTCCGACATCTTCTTTTAGCTGGWGACACCTCAGGATGCTTTCAGTACCATGCCGAACCAAGGGTTTGCAGAGTTTTATTTTATTTTTTTATTTTTTTGAACTACAAAATTTTTTGTCAACTTTGCAAGTAGTGTGCAGGTGACTGCAATTATTTTATGAAGTTAGGTAAAGACAAAACAAAGAATAAATTGTGCGACTCGGATAGAGGAGGTGGGAAGTGATGTCACAGCTTCATCAGCTGTTGTTGTTTTCCCAAGTTTCCCGATATTCCCAAAAGTTGTGTTTGTTTATTTATTTATTTTTTACGTACATAAATTTCATAAACTTAGCGGGGTCATTATGCTAGTTTAACTTGGTCTCCAAACGATATTGTTTATAGCAATATTTTCTGAGACAGTTTATCATCCAGCAAAATTTGTTATCTTGACAGTCCTAATTATAGTCCATGTTTAGCACCAATGCATCCAGTACAGTAAACACTGGATTCACAGTGAATCTCCTCTGGGACAAAAGACAACTTAACGTCTCAAAACTTSAAATTGGCTGCTAAAATAATTCAGGTACCTGAAGATTTGACTGCAAGGTTAACGTAAATTAAAGCCATTCTGTGTCTGACATGGTGCACCATGACTGTTGTTTCAAGAGCATTGTGCTGCTATTATTACAATTTTCCTGGTTAAGGATGACTTTAAAAGTACTGCGTGCAATATACCCACTCACACAAGCTGTCATCTCCAGCAAATGGTCTTTGTCTCCAGGCAGGGATGGTACAGCAGGGCACATCTGTCCTTGTTGTGGATCAGCTCAGTGTGATTTTCAGACTAACCAAACTTCCACAGAAGCAGACCTGAATGTTAGCTATATTTGTTTTGAACGTTGTTTGCTGACATTTAAGCTTAATGACCTGCCAAATGTCACCCCCAGAGATCAAAGAGTTAATCTGTTTAGTTAATTAATAATGAGGTAGAATTTTAATGTCCAGGTGTCACCCATGTCTAAGTTTTTTTTAACTTCAGTAATATTTATGTTTTCTAGCTGTCTAGCATGATTTACAATCAAACCTGATCTAATTACAAATAACACTAAACACAACTCATTTTAGCCCTAATTATTTTTTCAAATAATTGTCATTATTAGACTTTGAAAAAAGGCATATCTAAAAAAGGTAAACAGTTTACCTAAAAGTTATATTTCAGCATAAGAAATAAAGTGTAGTTGCACTTCAGTGCTTTTTAGATAAAGCTTTAATTATTAAATTATGTGTTCCTTCACATATTATAAGAGCCTTGCTTATTACTTCTCAGTACTTTTCAGTTTTCTTTAGTCAGTTATGGTCTTTCATTTTTAGAGGTTTTTAACAGAAAACAAAAGTGATTTTGGACAGTAATCATTTACCATGATAGCAGCTTTTTATGTTATTTGTTGAAACTGAACAGCTCTAGAAAAAGGTCATGTACTGGATGTGATTGCTTTTTTGAGATGTCTGAGGACATTATTCTCTCTTCCGGCCTTGCTCCATGTTTGGATCTTCACTGTTGTTTCTCAAAAGGTTAAACCCTAGCTCTCTGTCCAACTTGGACCAGTTAAAACTGGTTTTTCAGGGAAGTGGTTTGACTCTCATAAAATTTTCAAGATATGTTTATGAGTTGTAAGTATGTACTTATCCTTGCACAAAGTGTTTACAGGCAAGATATATTTTTGATATAAAATGGTGTAAAATATTAATTCAAGTGAGGATATGAGTGCCTATTGAATTATACACGCGTGGCTTACATTTGTTTGTTTGATGTGATTGTTGAACACTGTGTTCAGTGCTGTTGTGTTCCTGCTATGTAATGTTTTTCCCAGAAATCAAAGTGGGTCTCTTATCTAGTGCTGCTGCTTTACTGTGAGATTTACGTAATGTTTTGGGGGCGCAGACAGAGGAACAGGAGATGTTTATACACCTCAGGGTTGTACTTGTACATTGTTGGAGCTGTAGTGGCTGGCAAATTGAGAAAGTTTCTTGAATGGAAAGTAAAACGTTTTCAAGAATCAAAAAATAAATCTAATGCCTGTGAGTCAAGTTGATAGAAAAATTGTAACATATTGATTTTGCTTACTTGACATTTTAGTAATCCATTAAATAATACTAATAGCAAAGGAGTTTATCAGTTAATAAAATACATGTTGCAACCTATCACCCACCCAGCATTTTCATAAGTACAATCCAAAGACAGAAGTCTGTAACCTGAAGTCTATTATTCTTTCTGTAAAGAATGACATTTTTCTTTAAATCAGTAGTCTTTTTTATTTTTTTTTATAGATGCAAACTCATTTCAGCATCCTTAATTTTTTTAGGGATTCTCCAACTTAATTTTCTACATACTGTAGGGATGCACAATAACTTATTTTAAGAACCAAAACAGATAACCGATAACTTTCTCCTTCTAATGGCCGATAACCGATAATAACCGATAACATATAACATGCCAGGAGATAAGACTAGTCAAAAATGGGTAAGATCATACCATAAATAAACAAAACCAAAACCAAAACCAAATGACACAGTAAATTATACTATTTGAAATAAACTCTTGGCAAACAAACAATTCTTAAAGTACGTCAAACAAAACAATTTCTGAAATGGCCATCTTTTTAAATAAGGCGCTTTAATTATAAAAAGACCATTAACACTGATCTCAGATTTAAACAAAAGGGAAAAAGTCATTCCACAAGTTCAAAAGAGATAATGCACTAGCATACTGTATTGCACTGTAGAACCAGGATAAGCGGTTAGTTCAATTTTATGTAATATAATAACAAAGCTTTAAAAGTATACTTTACTTTTGTTTTTGTTGTTGTTTTATTATCACTGACTTTATTACATAGAATTCTGTATGTAGTATTCATGATTAAATGCAGCAAAATAAACTATTTAAAAAGTAACAGATCTTTGTAATACTTGTTTTTTTACATAATGACTTTAATTGCTGGATGTACGGCCCCTGAGCTGTTGGCCTGCCGTAACTGTGGCCCCCGGAGTAGTTTAGTTGAATAGACCTGGTCTAATTTATATCTAAGCTTAAGTACAGTTTCAGAATTTATGCAAAGAGTTTACAAGGTAAAAATTACAACAACCGGTTGCAATATCCACCCTGTACAACTTAATAATTTGTACTGAATTGTAGCATGCTTGTACAGTATACTTCCTGCTAGACTCTGTTTAACAATATATTGCGCAGAAAGTAATCTACTAACCAATTCAACAATAACATCAGCTTTATAGGCTAATTTTAAACAGTTGAATTATATGTTTCAATTGTGATCAGATCACATATTCAGGTCAATAAGATAAATTTAACTTTCTTGTGAAAGGAAACGTTTTCCCTTTGCTCTTATTAACCTTTTATTTAACCAGGCAAATCCTGTTGACATCTCTACCATCTATTGTAATGGAGTCATAGGCCTGAACGCATGCCTGCTTTTGTCTGTTCGAACATCTGTAACTCATGTATCTTTGTGGCATTTTTATATACATTCTTAACAATATTATTATATCTAATACATTTAGTTATTAAAATTTTACATAGCCTTTATTTGTAGCTTTTAGCCAATATCTACCAAAACACATAGTACAGACATTTGCCTTCTCAGCTAATGGATGCTACACTGAATCACAAGGTCATGTGACCAGTGTGCACTCCAGTTGTCTTATATAACACTATGTAATGCATCTTGATATTTTTGCACTATTGTAAACTTTTTAGTGCTGACTAATCAGATATTTTCCCCTATTAAACATTCTTTTTGGTTTGTTTCAGTGTTTTGTGAAAAAGTTCTTTTTATTTTTTTATTTTTTCATTATTTTGTAATCATGTGCTCTGTCCTTATCTCCAGGGTGAGAGCAGCCATGTCGGAAGAGGCTGTGCGTCAAACGCGCAGCCAGAAGCGAGCTCTGGAGAGGGACCATGCRGCTCTTTCTGGTTCCTTAGGGGACAAACGGGTAAAGCTGGAGAGAAGTGATGCCGCTGGGACCCCACTGGCCCTCATGGGGTCTGGAGCTGAGGGCATCAAGCTGAAGAGTGAGCAAGCTGCTAAGGTAGCAGCCAGCATCCTGAAGGCTGGGGAAGTAAAAGCTACCATTAAGGTGGAGGTACAAGCTGGAGATGAACCCGTTGATATGAGCACAACTAAAAGGTGAGGCAAGAAAACAACTGATTTACCTAGATCTTGGCTGTTTTTTTTATTAATTGTATTTTGATAACATTAGTGACATTCTTGCTGAGGCTTTAAGTTTGTTTGCCATGTAAAACAGACAGTAAAGTTTACACGAAGTGTCTGTTTTTAGTCTTAGACCACTACTCAACGAAACAGAATAAACACTACACTAAAGCAGCAGTATATTCCTCAGCCTTTATTTCTTTATCGACCTGGTTTGTCTACAATAAACTCGAAAAGTGTTTCCATCTGTACAAGAAACCAYAAATCTGCGTACATAAATGCAAAGAAAGTACTTTGATTTTGCCTTTTAGTTTCKGTATGCTTAACTGACATTGAAGGATCAGATAGAAAAGAGGCTTTAAGAGATGATCTGCATTTTGYAGTAGTTGTTTGAGAACCCATTTATGGAACCGAGGCCTCAGATTTTGTTTTACACATGCAAGCAAAGTGGGTTGTTTTGCTTAGAGCTGTGTCTATTGGAGTTTCAGGTTTCTGTCTAAATTTGCACTTAGCAAGTGGTCTGACAGGAGTCATACAGGAAGTCGCTATGTGGTTGCCAGCAGCCTGCCCCCATTCTGAAAACTTTGAGGCTCCTAGGGCTCAGGCTCCATTTTCTCCCACAGCAGCACCTGAACTCTGCCTTGCACTTCTCACAAAATGAAGGCTATGTGTCACAAACTGGTTCCAACTGGCTGTTGCCATGGTTTCCATGTTGGAAGGAGCAGTTGGAGGAAGGAGGGGCCTGGAGGAGTGGTGGGTGTGTCACATGACCACACAGAGAAATGCCTGATGTCATGTGACTTGTGTTTGCTAGAGCAATAAATACACACACTGATGTGATGGCAGTCAAATCAGGACAGAAAAGTAAGTGAGCAGCGAGCGTGTTGCCTTCGCCTGTGATGCCTCATAATTACACACCAGTGTCACCTTTGACCCTCAGCATGTGTTTGTGTGTTTCCTCTCTACAAGATGATTTATTGTTATGAGGTGGTTTGTAGAAGATAGCGATATAAAGCTGTGAGTTAAATCATTTTATTTATTTATTTACTTACTTACTTACTTACTGACTTACTTACTTACTTTACTTAGGTAATCACATTGAGACAGGTAATCTAATTTACAAGAGAGACCTGTAACACAAACACACAACATTGATTATACAAAATGTCCCAGTGGGAATAAACTGAACAATTTCAGTTCTTGCTACAGTGAATTCCAGGACAATGGAGCAGAATAGGAAAWGGCCTTTTTTCAGAGTTCTGTGCATGAACTAATGAGACACTAAAAGAAATAAAATCCTGGGAACGCAGACTATGACTAAACTGTCTTTGTAACATCTTGGTATGTAGATAAGGAGGCAGCAGACCGAGAATAGATTTGTAAATAAAGATATGCCAGTGTAGAAGTGTGCAGGTAGATAATGTTGGCCAGTTAATCAGTGAGTACAGGGTACAGTGATGTTAAATTGGAGTGCTCCATAACAAGCAACATCCAACATTTGCAGAGAGCTGGCTGGGGCATTCAAACAAACATCATCACCTTGATGGCGTAGTGAAAGGAAGGTTGCAGACACGAGATGTTTGCGAGCCACAAGAGAGAAACATGAAAATTTTCTAAAGAAAAATTCTTGTTTTAGCTTCAGTTTTTATTTTGAAAATGTGGTCAATGCGATATTTAAAGAAGAGCTTTTGATCAATGACAACACTTAGACCTTTACAAGTTTCTACAAACTATAGATAAACAATTAAAATTCTGAATACAGTTTGTGGCACATTTTTTATTAGCAAACAACATGGTCTTTGTTTCGTCAACATGAAGAAGGAGTTTAAGTTGGAGTAAGTCTGACTGCATGGAATAAAATGCAGACTGCAGGCGGTCAAGAACCAATGTCTACATTCAAACTGCAGGCCTATGCGACCCATATGATTATTTTATGACAGTCTGAACTTGGTAAATCTGATTTTTTTTTTTTATCAGATCCAGGTCTTTTTCAGTATATGGTACTGAATCGGATACATATCTGATGTTTTTCAAAGCAACTCATTGTGAACAGTCTTGTCACATTTCGGGGTGCAAGTTATCGATTAATGGATTAATCTAAAGTTGATTGATCTTATTGATCGACTAACGATTAATTGATAAGCTGCCCTTTTCTTAAAAACCTGACATTTCTCTTGAATCAAGGGTCTTTCTATGATGTGAAGGGCTATTTTTTTTACAATAAATTAAAAAGTACGACATATATTTTATAAAATTTAATGTTCCAGCTGTGTTAAACACTGACTGAAAAAATTGTGGATTTTTCACACATTATTAAACTTGGACATATTTATAAAATACAACAAAACAGGAATCTATTAGGTTGCTACTTGGAAAAAAAAGGAAAGAAAAACAAAGTAAAACACTTAATCTACCCTGAACAGAGAAATTAACCCATAAAACTAACCTAAACCTTAGTCCTAAACCTAACCCCACACCTGTAACATGCATTTGGACCCGTGGGGACCGATTCACTTTGGTCCCCACCTGGCTGCTTTTTTTTTTTGAAAAAAATACCCCACGTTGTAGGAAAAACCCGTATACACACACACACACACACACACACACACACACACACACACACACACACACA